GTAATTTCCAGTACAACTTGTTATTATTTTTATTTGCGTCGTTTAAATGAGAATCAATGTTGTCGTAGTAATTTGCCCTGGCATATTTTTTTCAAATTATTTACTTTAAATCTAGCTTTCCGAAATTCTTCTTTATCTGATTCTTTCTTGGTTTTCTGCGCTTTATTCTTAATCTATTCCGAAGTCGTATAGCTGTTCCTAGTAATGAATCCATCCTAAATTGAACATGAATATTTCACGACTAATAAGAATAGGGTCTATCAGAGTTTTTGTAACTTGTGTTACTCTCGTAGGTTCGTTTATTACGTTTAAGAGTCCAGCCATGTTCATGATATTATAAATTTCATGATTTGGATTTATTTGAAGAAAATCTACATTAAGATCCCCAAGTATTATAATTTTGTTTGACATATCACTTATTCTTTCAATGGACCATGAAAATTTCCCCCAAAAATCATTGCTCGAGTTTGGTGGACGATAAACACAACAAATGAATAAATTATTGTTTGGTTGTTCAATTTCGATCCAAATACTCTCCATGCTTCGTGGTTCTAAATCTTCCCGTCGAGTAACTTTTAGAGAGTTAGAGACATATACTTGCCAGTATCATGATTCCCCCTCCATATGAATTCCTATCCTTTCTAAAAATATTTCCAAATCCCTCAATATAAAGATCATCATTGCTAAAGTTTGAATTTAAATGGGTTTCTGTAAAGCATAATATATCAAAGTCCTGTACTAAGTAAATCAACGAGTCTATTTTATTTCTGATACTTCTTACATTCAGATGTATTATATAAAGGGAGTTCTCAAAAGATGGACCAGGATTAATCTCAATATCCCCAGATAAGAGTATTTTCAAAAATATGAAAAGCTGAGAAAGATAATTTATAATAATTAAATATGAACCTTTTTTTTTTAGATGAATTCGAAATAATGTATTCAGTTTATGCAGAAAGTAAAATAAATCAGCAATGTTAAAAACCTTGAATGAGGACCTTTTCAGTATTCCTCTACATTTCATGTCTATGGTGCTGTCGAAAGAAAGGATTGTTTTCTTCAAGTCAACGACAGATATTATTTCCCGATATTATAAAGAATCAAGAAATTTAACCCGAACACAGATGTCATTCACCAAAAAAAAAAATGCAGATTGGTCTCCACTCCAATTGCAACAAAAGAAAAAAGATGTGTTTGTGAAACACTATGCGCCCGAGGGAACAAAGTTCCCAAAAATATTTTTAGCATATAGGTCACAGTCAAGGTCACAAGGTCATTGATCTAAATGTCATTTGAAGGAACTTTATGGTGGAGTATGCATACGAAAAATTAAGTCTGTATCTCCAATGGTTCAAAAGTTATGGCGAAAGTTTGAAAAAAGCTATTTTCAGCATATAGGCCACATGCAGTCACGGTCACAAGGTCAATGACCTTTGTGTCATTTGTATGTGCCTAATTAGTAAAGTATGCATACCAAATATGAAGTCTCTATCTTTTATGGTTCAAAAGTTATGGCGAAAGTTCAAAATAGCTATTTTTAGCATGTACAATGTAGGTCACAGTCAATGTTACAATATCTCTGACCTTGGTGTCATTTGAAAGAACTTTATAAGAGAAGTATGCATACTAAATAATAAGTCTCTGTCTCTCAAGGTTCAAAAGTTATGGCGAAGGTTAAAGTTGAGAACAGACAAACAGACAGGGCAAAAACAATCTATCGATCCGGGCGCATAAAAAATCTTAACTTTTTTCAACACCGTAGGCCAAGGGTTATGGAGGAGAGTATTTTAACAGAAATTATTGACTAGCAAAGATGGTGGTCTGTTGATATATATTTTTGAAACGTCATATTAACAAAAATAGAGATGCAGTCTATATGAATTTCTTTTTGACAGAAAGTGTTGTTTGGACAATAATTATAAACAATTTTTAATGCAATTATATTTTCAGTGTACTCAGCATTACAACGCCCTTATGGATGATTTAAATTCAAGAACACTCTTTCAGAATTACCAGCTTTTTGTTTCCAAATGGCGTTTTCTGTTTTTATGTGGAATAATTCTGATAATTGTTTTCATTTGTGCCGGATATGATTTAATCTGGTGGGACGATTTCCGGGTTTTTGCAATTATCCTGACGATCATTGGGTGTTGTCTTGTCGTTTTAGTTTTTCCGTGTTCACTGTGTTTTATGTATATCTGTAGGAGAAATGTGAGTATTTATATTTGTAGCTGTCGTAAATTTGTTTAAAATTTTAATAGTTTTAGTATTAAACTAACTTCAAAGTGAATATAATTAGATCTATAATAAAAGATATTGCTTTGGGTACGAACCTCGAGAGTACCAACTTTTTAAAAAAAATCATAGAGTGATTTTTCTCAAAGAAGAATTTTTTACCTATTAATCAATAAAGTAAATACTAAATTCATAAAATGAAATATGACTTTTATACATATTTAAGAAACGGCAAAATTCATGAACAGAGCATAAATCTATACATGAACTTGCAAACAGTCTGTTAAATTTTCGCCCATCTCCTTTAAATGTATTTGATAACAATCTCTGTTTAATTTTGTAGCTATCGTCATCTATTCGCATCATCGTGTTTCGTCTAAATGCAAAGTTCTACCAGAATAGTAAATGTTTGATCTTCTATGATGACAGCAACGTCTCCAAACCCACTGTATCCTTGAAAAGTTTTAAGAGTACATGTTTAGAAATATTTTTTTATATAAATATTTGTTCATATTTATAAATATATACACGCCCTTCCCTTTTCATTTTTTCTCCTTACATTTTTGACTAGCTGAACATTTTTAAGTACGATAGCACCGAATGCAGAGTAAGTGAGACATTGCGCTTCATAATCATAACTCATCGATTTAGAAAAAAAATCTCCTAAATCTCAAAACTTCCGTTACATAATATTGATACTTGCAGAATTATGTTTGTCTAATGCTGAAGAAAAAGAGACCGACAATGAATGAAAACTATATAAAGGTATGAATTGTTATTGAGAAATTTATTTCACTTTTAAAAAAAAATTATATATATTTCTTTCAATTTCAAAATTTTAATACAACTTAACTAGGATAGAGTCATTCCATGAATTTTTTTTTGTTTTAGACAACTGCAGATGACTTGATTGAAAGAATTTTGGAAGATCTACAGCAGAGAAATGGCTTAATAAACTGGTCTTCTTTACCGGAGAGCGCCAGTAAGCGCCATAGGACCAGGAACGACAGAGTTTGTCTGTGTGAAATGGTAGAGGATAGCATCAACCAAGAAAATAGTGGCAGCAATAGAGGGACCATTGAGGTCTAAATTTAGTTTGGAAAACCTGGAGAATCGCGTTCATTATCTAGTCCACGCCAAATATTAAAGCATGTGCTTGATATTGTACTTATCAGTTTCAAAAGTTAGCATTTCTAGTCAACAAAAGACATTTTCTTTACTTCATACCATTACCTTTTCTTTTATTTTTCGTGATACACAGTGTATATTGACATAACAGGCACATTGAGTTCACATCATTTTACGTCAGAAAATTAATATGAATTTTGAGCGCCATTTATGAAACATGCTCAGAGCAACAACCCTGTAGCACAAGGAAATAAACGTCGATTCCGTTTTGTCTTTTATCTTATCTTAGTTGATTGCAAAATTTAAGTGTCTGTATAAAAAATTCTTGGATGAAAATATCTGCAAGGTAATGTAAAAAGAAGGTATTTAAATAGAAAAAAAAATTATAGTGCAAATGTCATTAAAGAGTTTTCAGTAGGTCAGTGTGAAATAAAAAAAAGTACCGCGAATTTAGATAGTCTAACTGAAACGATTTCTCAACGTGGCTAAACCTGAAATAAAATATATGGAGATAACGAACAGTATTCAATATCAAAAGTCCACAAAACAAAACAAAATAAGAGCAGAGCAAACAGGGACCTCCAAAACATGAGGTCGAATCAGGTGCCATGGAGGAGTGAGCATCCTATGCCGACCGTTCAAACCCGCCGTGTGCTCCTTGTCATGATCGGGAAATAACGGGAAATCCGTCTCAATTCATTTGCTCAGGGAAGGGAAGGTCGTTCACTATAACCAAAAATGTTCACCAAAATTCGCACTGGTTGTCTCGATACTGAGAAACTAAGATTGGTGGATTTCCTAGGGTGTGTGTGAGCCACAGAAACGATTAATTGACCAAATTATTATTACATAAAAATAGATAAGTAATCGGTAAATATAATTCTCAAAAATTCTACTTTTTTGAATTATGTGATATTAATTACTATATTCATGCAAATTTCGCTTAAGTACTTGAATATCCTTACTATAAAATTTACAAATATGACAACACGAATAAACACAAAAAATGATATATAATTGAATGATATTATTGAATTAGGTGAGTAAACGCTTCATTTTTTGTTAACAAATAATGTGAGGCGGTGGATAGATGTTCATTTTATTCTTGCAAAATTGATGCCTTTAAGTAATAAGGGATCATTTTCGCCCCAGCGTCTTTTGCAACAAGGGATCTCAGTTTATAAAGTTTCATCCGTGAGGCCTGTTTCTTTGTCCCACAGTCGGATTCAAATCTGCAATATCAAGATCGACTCCTTACTTTGCGGTCAACATGCTAATCACTGCGTTACGCGGGTGCCGCATACTGTTTGTTATGCGTTAATATATTTTACAAGAGACAGAAGTATTTCGATGGTAACATTCATTATTCCAAACGTAAAAAAATTTATACCATATTTTTATTACAACGGATAAACTTCAGAGTATTAATTTCTTAATATTTAAAAACATACAATACATGTATTTAACGGTGTATAACTTTATTGAAAAACAATTCATAAAAATGTCAAAGTTGGAACATGTTAAAAGAAAAGCAAGCAGCAATCAACTAACATATATATATATATATATATATATATATATATATATATATATATATATATATATATATATATATATATATATATATATATATATATAGACTCTTTTTTTCATGTACAATAAAATACGGTGGTAAAAAAACATACTCAAGTAAGAATGTATATTTCAAATACATGATGCTATACTGGTCTTGACTCAATATCTTCAATTAAAGATCGTGAATCGTCCTGGAAAAATTAAAAAAAATAATATACAGTCAATATGTCATGTGTAGTTACTTTTAAAGTAGCACATAAACTACATGTATATGTTATCGCCTGCGTTCACTTAATGCTTGAATTCTAGTAGAAACTTTACACACACCCTAACACACATACAACGAGAGAGAGAGAGAGAGAGAGAGAGAGAGAGAGTCCAAAAACTACCAAATAATTTTTTTTTAATCTAGTAAAAGTACTCACCCAACCTCCTTGCGATAAATATCTTTGATGTTTAGGTCGGCCTTTATAACAGCAAACTATGCATATTAATGCAAAGAAACCCGAAAAACCAGTACAAATCAATGCTAGACCACTATTGACATAGGATTCTTGATCAAAACACACGTGCCCAGGATCCCCTACATCCGGTAAGGTGTGTTTCGGACATACGTCATAACAGCGACCCTCATATATGTAACGACTGCTTTTCGAACATTCGTACCCCATGATACATTTTCTACGGTAAATGACGTAATAATTAGGACAGACCGTCACACAATCAGTCAAAGGATTGTCATAATTACTGTAATTATCATACCGATATGGTTTGTAATTTGGGCAATCATTACTACATTTGTGTCCTACTATTACTTTAGAAGAGGGACACTTGTTAACACATCGGTTAACGTCCACGTATAAATTTTTGGAACATTTCTTAGTACGTTCCCAATGTAACATTCTCTTTATAGGTATTGTTTGGGCATGAAGTGCTGCGTGTGCAGATATTGTTTATTATCAACATACTCTCCGGACACTCTCCTACACAGTGAGGTGTGTTTTCAATTAGAACTGTACCATTAGGACAAAAAGACGAATTCAAGCACACTATTCCTTGGTTTGTTCGTCTCTGAAGCGCCGATATCTTTGAACACACGTTAACACACTGTTTGTTTTCGATGTAGAAGTGCTCTCTTGGACATTTTTCAGCACACTTTTTCCCATTATAAACGTAATGATCAGGACATGATTGTACACAAGTGACATTGTCCATATAAATGTACGGGTATGTTTTCGGACATTCTAATGTACAGTTTGACAGGATATATTTCATATAAGTCGGACATTGATCAAAGCAGAAATATTTGTATTGATAAGCATTTCCAGGACACTTTTTCACACAAATATGTTCATGTTTTCCCTGTTGTACCTTTGTGTAGTTTAAAGGAAATGTTTTTGGACATGCCTCGACACAGGTACTATTGAAAACCAAAGTGTTGCTAGGACAATCAGTCACGCATGTTTTATTCTTTATCCATGCAAAGAACTATATGCAGTATATTGCATATATTTGCCCCCACAAAAATCAAACTTTGAAAACTTTCTGAAATGTGCTGAATTCAATAAATTGTATGAGAAATATAAATTAACAGAAAATATTATAGTGTCAAAGCAGTGTATTCACAATTTTTGTTTTTATGACGTCACAAACTAGTCCCATTTTATATCCTTTTTCAGAAAGAGGACAAAATGGACAAAATTTCAACAATTTTAGCTTTAAAATTTATAGAGCGCAAGTTTGTTCAGGACCAATATTGACATATTTCATTGATATTATCATTCTACACATTATATCAAAATATTGATCCTGAACACACATGCGCTCGGTGACTTTTACTCAAAATATCGACGAAATATGTACAATTTTCTGTAAAATTCATAAAAAACTGAAATTTACGTCATGTTTGTGACGTCATTACGTACATATGGCGTCATTACTTGTGAAAATATTCAGTGCTTTGAAGTCAGCATATACTCCCCTGTTTAAGAACTTAATTAAATATATCTCCATCAAAGTTTGATTTGGGGGGCAAATATATGCAATATACCGCATATAGTTCTTTATTAAGTGGACATTTTGAAACACACTGGTGATGGTGCTCTGAAGTCCTTTCTTCTGTATTAATGAAGAGACGATCTTTTTGACACGTTTCTACACATTTTCCGCGATATTCAAACGGCGATTTGGCTGGACAATCAGTCACACATTTCTTATTTTTCATCCATAGAAATGTATCGGGTGGACACTTCGCGACACACTGCTGAAGATATATAGATGCTTTTTTTTGCTGGTGTAGTGTTAATAAAAGGACGGTCTTTTTGGCATGTTTCTACACATTTTCCATGATATTCCAGCGGCGATTTGGCTGGACAAACAGAAACGCAAACGTTTCTATAAGAGGCCATCATATCATTGCAATGTTCGGAACACACGAAAATTTTATTAAATACTGAAGTTCTGAGAGAAGTAAAAGGACTTGAAGGAGGACATGTTGATCGACATGTTTTATTGAAAAGCAAAGGGCGGTCATCGGGGCACGACAATTCACATTTGGTGAAATTCTGCATGGAAAAAGACGGACACTCTTTTAAACAGTGATAAAAATGATTAAAACGGAACTTGAATGGGTGGGAAACCGGACACTTCGATGAGCACGTCTTGTAACCTGAATAACAGACCCCTTCACAAGAAACTGCCGTTATATACTTTGCTTCAGATGGACATGTCATCACACACGATTTGTTGTATCCGATGGTGTATTCAGGGCATGAATCAAGACAATTTCCTTCGAAACAATACGGGTATTCCTTTTGGCAAATAGATTTAGGGCAATGAAAATGTTCTACATCGCTGACACAGTACTTGATGAATCCGTTATATCTAGCAAAAGTGTGCGATGGACAGGAGTTGTAGCACTGTTTTCTGTACACATATTGTTTTGCTGGACACGCTCTTTTACATGTATACTGCCATTCCCAGTCATTTCCCGCTCGAACAATAACTTCTGTAGGAAGGCATCTTACATCTTGTCCCTTTGTGAAACAGATTTAAATTAATGTCATTTGTTAAAAAAATAGCTTTTTTGGTAGCAAAATGTGTCACAAACGATTTTTGTTGTACTTAGAACAATGTAAAACATGGTTAACTAGATCATGATCATCTTCCCAAGTCAAGGGTTTCTGATCCGCTCCGCTCCACATATACCCTTGACCGAATAGGCTAAATTTGACGGGGTTTACTGTCACGCCATCTAGTGAGATTACACATTTTACACTCAACTGACCTCTGCTATTAGCCAATCAGAGTAAACATATTCACAGAGAATTCGAGATTATTGGTAGTCGTTAATAAATTCAATATAACTAAGTTAAAATCTGATACAAACCTTTAACTGGGCTATTTAATGATAAAGACGTTATCCTTGGGACTAAAACTGACGTGTTTTTCTGTTTAAGATTTAGTTTCAGTTTAAATAAAACAATGATTTTGATTGGTTCATGAAAACTTGCATGAGGCCAATCAGAGAACGCATTTCTAACCCCGTCAATCTTAGCCTATTCGGTCAAGGGTTTATGTGGAGCGGAGCGGATCAGAAACTCTTGACTTGGGAAGATGGATCATGATACGCTGTGAAAAGTTTTTTCAAATACAAAGTTCGCCGAAAAATGGCTAAAATATTGCCGGCTCGGCTTGAAGCACTAATCAATCCATCAAATACAAAGTTTCCAATTTCACGAAAAATTGCTTGCATTCCTCATATACGATACCAATAAAAAGCTAGCCTACCCTCTCCTAACCATCTTAAAACAAAAAAATCTAAGATAGAGGCAAGCTAACGTCCCGTATATTTTTTTTTTTATATATCTTAGGGTCATTGAAATTATATTCCTGAACATTGGCACGAGTTGGATGTAAACTTACACGAGCTTAAACATTTCCTATTGATCTATATTATTTTTTTAATTAATTTAAATAATTAAAGATTAATGAGAAATTTTTGTATAAGTATCAAATTAGTACTCTTCAGTATCAGCGTCTTTCCTGCATGCATGTGTTCAGTGTCACATCATTCCAAATACCCTTCAAGCGTCTGATGATTTTATTTTATTGAGGCTAATAATTATTTCAATAATCATTTCAATTTTGTGTTAAAATTAACATATCTTACCTAGCTGCCACTACTGTTTATGAATATTGCATTTGAGCGAATAGACATTTTTTGTCTACAACTCTCGTTTTTGGAATATTTCTGGACAAAGGCAAACTTAAGGTAAAATTTTCTCGACATTCATATTTCACATGTGTATTCCTTGAGACAAGACCTTTTTTGGGTATCACCAAATTTGAACTTTGAACCTTGACCTTGGAGTTTGACCCTACTTTTAAAGAAAAATTGCAAACTTTTATTTGGGCCATATCATTTGAAAAGTGAATACCAAGACTTTTATACTTTACATTTGTATTTTTGTAGCAAGACCTTTTATTGAGTACAAACAACTTTGACCTTTTGACCTTGACCTTGGAGATTTCTGTACTCATAAAAAACTTTAACCTTGGTCATAACTTTTGAAAGGTAAGGGCTAAGGCTTTCATACTTCACATATGTAATCATTGTGAAAAGACGCTTCATTGGATTCCAAGAACTTTGACCCTTTAACTTTGAGCTTGGAGTTTGACCTATTTTTCAAATACAACCTTGAACTTTTTTGAAGGGTTTGATCTAGGGCTTTTATACTTCACATATTTAATCCTTGTGACAAGACCTTTCATTTGATATCAAGAACTTGGACCCTTTGAACTTGTCTTTGGAATTTGACCTACTTTTTACAAACTTTAACCTTGGCCATAACTTTTGAACAGTAAGGGCTAAAGCTTTCATGTTTCACATATGTTATCATTGTGACAAGACCTTTCATTTGATATCAACAACTTTGACCCTTTGACCTTGGAGTCTGACCTACTTTCTACAAACTTAACCTTGGTCATAACGTTTGAAGGGTAAGGGCCAGCACTTTCATACTTCCCATATGTAATCCTTTAGACAAGGCCTTTCTTAAGAAATCAACAACCTTGACCCTTTGACTTTGACCACGGAGTTTGTCCTACCTTTAAAAACGTCAATCTTGCTCATAACCTTTGAACGGGTGGCGCTAGGGCTTTTTCTAATTTCACATTTGTATTTCTTGCGAAAAGGCCTTACTAAGGGTACTGCATTTGAGAGAGCTTACCTTTCGCTATGTTGCTATACAGGGGCATCAGTGTTTCACAAACACATCTTGTTCAGTCAAGTTTTGACACATATTTGTTAGGGTTTTTGTTTTGTATTTTCACTGTCTATATAGTAAGCGATACTTAAGATATCAGAAAATGATTATAAAGCCTCTTTAAAGACCCCGATTTTTACACAAATATTAAGTTCCATCAATAAAAATTAAATCATTCTGACTTGATTTTTCATAAGAGATATTTTGATATAAAATGGATTTATACAGAACAATTTATTTCAACAAAAAACGTCATTGTCCAGAACTTTTTTGACAACTCTCGTATATATACCTACATGCCTAACCGTTTTGTTGAACTAAAATCTTTTACTTTTCTTAAGCAATGACTAGATTGATTTATTGTATAATGTTTAATGTCCCTCTCGAGAATTTTTCACTAATATTGAGACGCCACCACTTGCTGGTGGAGATATGCAAATTTTATTTATAAACTCGGCACTGAGGGCAATTGAGCAGGGAGGGATCTTTTTCGTGCCAGCACCCACTGCGACACGGGACCAGTCTCGGTTTATACGGTCTCGTCCGAAGGATCGGTCTCCACGTTCCACAGTAGGATTCGAACCCGCGACATAAGGATCAACTACTTACTGAACGCGACTCTAGAGCAGACGCTCTAACCATGCGCCATGCGGGCAACAGCTAGCAATGACTAGAAATAGCTCGCGTAAACATGTAAATTCCCATCTATTTTTGTCTTAACACTCACATTTTTATAAAAATAGCATTTCATGTATGATTCAAAAGTCAGATTTGTACAAAACATCATAAAAAGCATAACAGCACATTACATTATGTGGCAAATAATACTTACTTGAATCAAGGGTAAAAAGTAACTCGATAAACAGAACAAAGAAACTAAGTGCCTCATAACTATATGCATGGTCATGCAGTGTGATCATCATTATAAACGTAATTAATAATGTATGGCGCTCTCTATATGACATAATTATTAGTTAAATAATTAATTTTGTCGAAAACAAATTCAAGAAATATGTAAAAGTAAAAAAATAAAGAAGTGTTTATCCAAATAAAAATAAAAAGAAAAGACAATTGAGAAGTTCATCATCTATATACATGTAGAATAAAGAAAATGATATTAGGGCAATGCAACAGACATCGTGTAAAACTTAGGCTAAATGAAAAATGACACTATCTGGATTCCAAACTTCTCAGAAATGAAATTGAGAGTAAATGGAAATCACATTGCTGGAACTTAGAATGATGGCAGCAGACAGATTACCTCTGCTTTCAAACAACATTTGTAGTGATATATCGGATAGTGAATTTGAAAACAAACATTTTAATCATACATTGCATCTGGATCGAGAGGAAAATTTGAGTTTCACTGAATCTGAGAATGCACAGTCTCTACAGAATGACGAACACTGTGAACTTGACGTTTTACCTTTGCAGTCGGACAAGAAGTATCATTTGTTTATATCGTATAGTTCAGAGGATAGGGATGATGCAAACGAAATCTGTGGGTGTATGGAGCAGAGGTTTCATATGAAATGTATGAACTTCGAAAGGAATTTCGTTCCCGGGAAAAATATTGACGACAACATTGCAGAAAATATGCGGAAAAGTGTCAAAGTTCTAATAATTTTGAGTCCAAACTATTTACAGAGTCATTGGTGCGTGACTGAAGCACGTGAAGCAGCTCAATTGTCTTTCACGGGTTTTTCCGATGTTAACGTGATTCCGTTACTTCTTCGGCCTTTAGGAAAAGATTTACCTCCCTTTTTAAAGTCCTACGTTTACATTGACGCACAAAGAGAAATTGATGTACCTGCAAAAATATACGAGGCTTATCTGAATCCAGGTGTCACTGATTTTTTTTATTATAATTTTTTATGCATAATTTCAATTTTAATTTGATAAAGTGCTTGTAATTCTAATCCCAACAAAAATTATCAAGTTCAAGTTCAGTTTATTCGCCCAAACAAAAAAAACTCAGGCACGTAGGAACATAAAAAGGGGGCGGGCAGCCTCCCCCCACTTTTTTCAAAAATAATTTTTACATTAAAATGTTCATTAAAGGCTGGTTGCCCCCCCCCCCCCACACACACACACACTTTTGGCTGAAGACAATAAAGTGATATAAGGGTAATGTAGTAATTGTATGAAGAGCATTTGATACTGAAAGAAGTTTGTGTTAAAATATGATTGATTATGTTTGTTTGGGCAAATTTATTCTTTTTCTCTGGCTGCCCCCCCCCCCCCATCCCCTTGTGTGATCATTCATAAATGATATAAACCACATGCACATGTTACAGATTTTCTGTATGCAGTTTAACCAAGGGTTGCTAAATTTCCATCGTAATAAAGTTTTAACGTATATTTGTATAATACATTTACAATTTTATTTAACGGGTCTGAAAAACGCTTTGCCTAGTATGAGATCATTCTACAATATCATTTTATATGTTGAAATCTATATAGAGTATTTTAGATGTAAACGTTCAGTAACATCAAGATTTTCAAAACCCCATACTTCAGAGTCATACAATTAAACTGGTACAACAACTTTACCAAAAAGATCAAACTTGCAATCAACAGTTAATTTAAATTGTCTAATTTTTCTTATAATGCCGTACATAGCTTTTTTTTTGTTTTACAAATTTTAACTCCTAAATATTTAAATTCTGTAACATTTTCTATAACTTTTCTCAACATTATTTTGAAAATACAGAAATCTTTGTTTTAAACCTTCATCACCTGCATACGGAGTTTATATATCTGGCAGTCCAATATCATCTCAGACAGTCTGAATCATCCTTAAAGAGGTATACTTATGTACGAAACACCCCAAGGATTAAACAATGGCATTCACTTGCAAATTTCCATTGTGGACAATATGTATGAAATTCATTTAGTGCATGTTGTAGTTCATCCAGGGTTTTCTTAAGAGTTGAAATAAATTTATTTTTTTCCTGTAGGTTCAATTGATCCTTTACATAAAAGACGGAATAGTGAGTTTTTATTTGTCAATAAAATTGGTTGTTTATAGTGATAATAATGTGTAATGCACATATTGATTTAATAAATCAATTATCAATCATATACTTTTTATGTTCCACGCTTTTATGACCAGTGCATGTAAAAATATCTTTTGCTTTTTATTTATTATATTTTTGAAATTAATTAAAGATCTTTTTATTGCAGTGGACAATGCCACTCTAAACACATATAATGGAACCTTTCTTTGTCAAAAGTTTGCCTCGAAAGCAAAATTTTTGGACCATGGCATCTCTTACAGATTTCATCCATTGGAAGATCACGAAAAAGAGAAAATCGCCTCTTTTGATCTCGATACCATAGAGGTAATAGCAAACTGCATATTCACATTCAATGTTTTATAAGTGATCAACTATTTGTAGGAAATCATTACTTTGCAACTTCTGAATTTACTGAGTGGAATCAGGGTTCTTTTAGTGGGGTCTAAGAGGCATGTATTCTGCCCCATCCTTACTGTTAAAAAGTGCATGTTGTTTCCGAATTCATGAAATAAAAATTCATACAAATGATTCGAAACACAAATAAAAGTCCTTTAAAATAAATGTATAAGTAAATCAGAATCGGTATTAAAAAAGGTCTTAATCTTTTGCTCCAAAAAAAGGTCAATAAATACCCTGCAAAAGAGAAAAAAATAGTACTACTCTGACTTGAATTAATTTTGAAAAATATTAATTATGATATTTTCCCAATTTCCATATAACGTCGATGCTAGTACATATACTTTAAAATCCTCTGGTTTTGATTCTGGTGTATGATATGGCTATGGGTACTGAAACTAGATTGTTTTCGTGAAAATCTTCTCCAAATTACAGTTTTGTTCTGGTGTCCATGAAACTTCCTTCACAAGTAGGCCACACAAAATTAAACCTAAAAACACATATTCCTAATATCTTTTTTTATTTTTAAGAATAGTGTTGTCACGGTTACGACTAATATAAAAAAAGCCAGTTCAATTCTTTCAAAAGGCTTGCCTTCTTTTAGTTTTAGTCAAACATCAATAAAACTTGCCAGTCAAAAACATTTACCCAAGGATTTTTTATTCTTTTTATTGCTGTTGTCATTGTTTCAAGTCCAAATGTCTTTTGTCATAAGTTCAAACCAGTAGAGCTACAGTCTCCTCAGAAATTTCTGTTCTTTTTTTTAATTTTTTTTTAATTTAAAAATTGTAAAATGCAGATGTAAATAATCAAAATTTTCAGACAAACTGAAGTAGTGTGAATGGAAATCTTTGACTGTTAATTTTTTCAATAGATATTTTATTAAAGAAAAAAGTGGTTTTCATTTTATTTTTACAGTGTGCTAACCATTACAACGTCATTAAGGATGAGTTGAATTCAAGAGCACTTTTCCGGAACTATCCTCTTTTTGTTTCTAAAGGGCGTTTTTGTCTTTTATTTGCAATAATCCTGTTCACTGCTAGCATTTTTGTTGGTTTCTGCCTCATTCTCCGAGAGGGTGGATTATTCGCTATCTTAGCTTTGCTTGGATCCGTTCTTGTCATTCTGATTTGCCCGTGTTCTTTGTGTTTCATGCACTGTTGTAGGAAAAACGTGAGTATACGTTTATCAAAGTAAAGCATATATTTCCTTTGTAATTTACGTTATATGTAGTATAAAAAAGAGCACACTGTTTTGATTTTAAAAATATGTCGATAAATGCCGCTTTTATTTTATTATTTGATTTGTAGTTATCATCATCGATTCACACCATCGTGTTTCGCCTGAATGTGAAGTTTTACCAGAATAGTAAATGTTTGATCTACTATGATGACAGCACCGTCTTGAAGCCAAGCGTATCCTTGACAAACTTTCCTAACAACTGTTTATATTTAACACTTTATATAAATAATTAAATATATTTCGTATTGTAATAACATTTGGCCTTACATTTTTCCATCAGCTGAACATTTTCAAGTACGACACCACTGAATGCATCTAGTATGTAAAACATTGCACTTTATAATTATAACTCACTGATTTAGAAAACAAAATATTAAAATGTCTCAAAGCGATTAGTTACACCGGTCGTTAAATATAATTGTAGAATTATTTTTGCCTGATGCTGAGGAAAAAGAGACCTAGAATGAATGAAAACGATATAAAGGTATGATAAGCTTTTTTCAGTGTCTAACAAACTGTAATGTCTTTCTTTCAATTTCACAATTTTAATAGAACTTAGAAACATTCCTTTAAACTTTGGATTATAGGAAATTGCAGATGACTTGATTAAGTGGAAGTTGGAGGATCTGCAACAAAGAAATGTGGATTTCGCTACCGGAGAGCGCCAGAAATCGTCACAGGACCAGGAACTACAGAGCTTGTCTGTGTGAAATGGTGGAGAGAAAATAGAGGGACTTATAGCAATAGAGGGACTATTGAGGTCTAAATTTAGTTTGGAGAACCTATAAAGAATCTCTTACATTATTTAGTCTGAGCATTTGCTCAACATTTTACTTAACAATCTCAAAATTTAGCATATCGGTATCTAGTCAACAAAAGACATTTTCTTTACGTACATACAATAAGTTCATCTTTTGTTTTATGATGATTTACATGTACAGTGTATATAAACAAATGTGACACATTAATTGATTTGAATTTGTGATTTACCTAAGAACATTTATATGAATTTGAGTGGCATTATGAAATATTGTGTTCAGAGTAACAATCCTGTACCATCAGGAAATAAACAGTATTCTTTTTGAGGTTTTTTGTTTGTTTTTAAATTCATTATTGGGGAGGTTCCTTTTTTAAAAGCATAGCCAAGGCCCGTTTTTAAAAAGATCTTATTCAGTTGATTGTAAAATCTTACAAAAGTTATGTGTCTGTTAAAAATTGTTTAGATAAATATATCTTTCAAAATTCTTTTCAAAAGGAATTAACCTTTTCTAAAAGCTTATTTTGTAATGTAAGAAGAGAAGTATTTGCATAATTACATTTTGATTTAGATGTTTTTTTGTAAAACGAGGCCTAGACTGATTCAAATTATTGACACACAGACGCTTTTTTGCCACAGGACCTTTCTCCTGTGGTTGGGGTTGGGGATAAAAAAAAATTAAAACAGTATTTTACTTTTTTCAAAATTATCTTTTTAACACCCCAAGAATGCGTCCTGAAAATGACGCTTATTAAATTGAAGTTATCGTTCTTTGAACAATTTATCCAGCCTTTTCTAGTTCGTTTATGAGCGGTGCAAGTGTATATATAAATACAATGTAAAGTTGTGAAAGTACTTGATACAATAGTAAACTATGGAGAATATTTAAGAAAAAAAATAGTATCATTCATAGACTACAGTATCTTAACTTTTAAAAGATTTTAATAATTACTTTTAAATTATTGTGAATTGTGTCTTTCTTAAACCATGCGGGAAAATGATGCCTTAGAATGGTTTATTTTATGTAACAAATTTTAAATATTTAAAAGTACTCATAAGTAAATATTTAATTATAGGGGCATGTGTACAATTTCCCATTGGACCTATATGTCACTAAAATGTATGTACAATATTTTCTTTATCAATAAAGATGGCTGCGCATGGAATTAATTTGATTGGTATAAATATTTCTGTCTTACTGAAAAACACAAAATTAAAAATTTGGCACGTTGTCTTGGATGATTTTACATTAAAGTGTTTAAATAATTATGCAACAGGGTCTATAAATTAACACTGTGAAAAAAAGTTTAATCATTCACAATTATAAATTTTATTTTTTTCATAAAAGACTTTATGATCTGAATTTAAACAAATTTTTATACCATATTTAATTGTCTAAGTCTTGGCCAACAAAGGGAAAAGTATGTTTTACTTTTGAATTCGGTCTTTATAACTGATAATGCCATCATGATTGATCTACATGTATGTGAGTAAGCCCCTAAAGATCAAAACTCTGTTAATTATAAGTTTGTAAGTTTGACTTGAGGATAAATCATTAATGATTTCATAAGTTACAGATCTTAAAGGTAAAAAGAAAAATGACTAAGCGTACTGAGATGTAAACGTTTTTCTCCAATTTAATGATTCTCATTTCTTTAAAAAACAACAAAGTTCAAGCCACTTTATTCGACAAAAATATTCAATCGAAATCTAGCTCTCATTCTTTGATTATATTTGCACGGACTAGTCTCATCAAATATCAGAAAATTAATAAGAGTACACAAAACTTTACTCTAGCGTTGAGCAAAGATATGCCGTTCTGAGTAAAAATTCGGTTTGTTTTTGAAAAATCATCTCAAGTAAAAAAAAAAAGTTTTATTAAAGTGCAAAATTTTCATTGAAGTTTTGTCATTTTAAAACTTTTCAGGAGTTCGTTATGATATAAAAACTAGAAATATGTCCATAGGACATGAATGCCCCTCCGAAGATATAAAAGTAATGCACCATAAAAATTTGCATTAGTGTATGAAATTTGATGATAAAATCATGGATGGATTCTTTTAATAGATTGAATTGTAAAAATTGGATATACATGTAGATTATAAATTCTCAGCAAATTATGTACATGTATAAGTGCATAAGCTTACATAAATATATCTTAAATGATTTCTTAAAAACTAAACAAAATGCAAATTTAAGAACAGTGAGGGCAAGGTTAGAGGACAATTCTAGGTCAAACGTCTTGACGTTACAGTATACGTAATTGAATAGGTTAACGTTACAGTTGGATAACTCTAACTCATATCTAAATTTCAATATATTACGTTTAATAAAATGTTTCGATTGGTTTATTTAAAACTGAGCTAAACACAAATGTAAGAAAAATATACTCAAGGTCAAAGGAAAGGTAATTGTAAGGGGCAAATATGTTTATGCGGTTGAAATGCTTACCAAGTGAAGTTTAATTTAAAAAAATACCATGAATGCTTTTTTTAAATGCTGAGGTAAACACAAATTGATAAAAGTAAGGTCAGATCAAAGGACATGTCAAGGTCAAAATTTTGATGCAGTTGAATAGCTTATATCAGTATTTTTAAACTTACGGGGTTTGACATTAATTTCAAAAAGGGTGATCGTTCAAAGGAAAGGTCAAGGTAAAGAAAATATTGATGCAGTCGAATGGCTCTCATCAGTATGTAGCGGCATGTGCAGTTTGATAACACTGTTCTTAAATTTTTTTTAACTGAGGTACTTTTAGAAAAGAGTGATTAAGGTGAAAGGAAAGGTCAAAGTAAAAAAAAATAATGAAGTTAAATGTCTTACATCTCAGTATTTACCAACTTATAAAGTTTGATTAGCACACGATCTTGAATGGTTTCTTTAAAACTATAAGCTAAATGCTAATTCAAGAAAAGTGAGGTTAAGGTGTAAGGAAAGGTCAAGATGAAAAGAAGGTTGATGTATTTGAATAGCAAAAAGTACTGCAAAAACTGAAACGATTCTTACCAATGGACCTAATCCTGAAATTGTATCCAAGACATTGGGGTTTGGAGAAACAGAACTAACAAATTATTGTTCTCTTAAAATTGGTGTTTAAACCAAGAATGTAGTGTCAATGGACCAGGGCGTGAAAGGGGCAATGGGGGCTGCACCACCTCCACACCCTTTTTCCTAATTAACCCAAATTAATCTTTTACTATTGAAAAAGTGTGACCCCCCCCCCCTCCACACATATATTTTCTGTGAAAACATATGTAAATTCTCATATATTGCTTACGTGTAAAAAAAATTGACTGTGAAAGTAAGTTAAAACTGACTCGGTCTTATGTTTTAAAAGAAATGAGGGGGGGGGGGGGGGTTAGCAATATACATGTACTAGACCTTATAAAAATTAAATACAGATGTACTAGACCTTATAAATACAAGAGCGTATCTTCTGTCACCCCGAATGCTCCGACAACTTGAAATACCGTTTAAGAATTAGACCGTTTTGTACCACGTGGTTCTCACCACACACTCCTGACCAATGTTAATGCACATGTACCCTACCCCCCCCCCCCCCTTCTTGTAGGAATTTTTAGACATGATAAGGTAGCAAATACCCGTACATGAATCCCTTGTCTGTCACCTCCAATACTTCGAAATTCGCCATTTAAATATATCCAAGTATTGTTATGACAAACGAGGAATTCATGTATATTTGTTAATTTATCGTTTCTAAAAAATTCAAGAAGGGGTGGAGATACACTTACAGTACCATAGGCCAGGATTCTGTGTTTTTGTAGTTCTCAGGTGGTCAAGGAAGCTTTCATGTCAGGTAATGCATTTAGCATAGTTTGTGTTAACCTTCAGTATTAGGTTACTCACCAAACTTTAAAAGAAAACAGCTATTGCATTATCTTTTCTTTTATTTTGACCAAAATTTATAAGCCATTTTTTCGGAAGATAAAATAATGATTAATGAAATTTATGCTAGTGTTTTCCTTTCCCATGAGATTTTTTCTCTAATTATGTTTTGTTCCATTATAATACATGTTCATCTATTTCCTATAAAAACATTATTCTATGCCAAAGATGATGTGTCCTTTTTGATGAATTTTGACAGAAGTTGAGTTTATCTTGTTATTCATAACTTTTTATGCAATTAATGAACTACAGAGAAACAAGCACTTTTACATTTAACGTTGAGTTTATTTTTGTATTTCATGATTTTTTCTCCAATTATTGCACTTCAGAATAACCCAAATTTATATTTTAGAAGATTATTAGACACAAACTGAATTAAAGGTAACTTGACACAATACTGTTAAAGTTGCATCGTGGTTTTATAGAGAAATTTCATAAAAATAAACTCATTCTCTTCTTTTCTTTTGGTCCATAAAAACGTAATCGCTGTCGGCAGAGGCACAGACACATACTTATTAGGAGAAACACGTTCCTCTCTCCAGTATCGGTGAAGATGTCCTCATCATTGATATTCAGAAAAGATTCGTGTCAAACTATGAATATGTCTATGCTGGCAAAAAACCCGTATATATTGTAATAATGAATTGTTAAATGAATTTTGGAAACTTCATTTTCTTTTTCTTTTATAATTATTTTCACCTGTGTGACATCGACTGTGAA